AGTAACATTTTCATTTCTTTAGACTTGAACCAAGATAAAAGGAGACCAGTGGTGCAGAGAGTGCATCTAGGGAGGTGCTGGAGGGAACCGGCTTCAAAGGGCGGCCTCTGGAGGGTGACTCCCCATACTCTTCACCTTTGCCGCCAGTGGTTTCCTCCCCTGGTGAGAACGCAGCCAAGAAGCACGAAGCCATTTGGAGGATCCAAATCTGAGCATCTAGTTTTAATTGGCCACAAACTAAGACATTCTCAAAGGGAAAGCTTGATAATGACAAGGATTTTGTGGGTAACTTGCCATTTCCATGCAAATGAAATTCAGGGACATTGACTCGGGAGCCTTGGATGGGTCTGTGTGAAAGGGAGGTTGTGCTCAGGCAAACTCCTGGTCATGACTTTGCAGGGCGAGAATGACTCTCTCCCACCCACAGCTCCAACTCATGGCTACAGCCCTCCCTGCCCCACCCATGGTCAACCAGGAGGTGCTGCTCACTGAAAGGGAAACCATCACAGGAGAGGGAACTCGCCTTGTCTTCTTGGTCGTGGTGCAGTGGCTGTTTTTGCCTTGGTGGTTGTCGTATGTCCTCTGGCTTTCTCTGCAACGGCCGGAGGTCAGACATGGTGTTGGCAGCCAGATTTGTTCTTCCCGGGGCTCCCTCACTAAAGTAGGCAACGTTTAGCTCACAGGCAGATGAAGGCTCCACAAATCTCAACATCCAAAGGCGGGGTTCCCCAGGCAAGAAAGTGCTGCCCGTGACTCTGGCTCCAGAGCAGGGAAGGTGGGACACAGGGCGTCCAGATTTGAGATCTTTGGCGAGGCGCAGAAAGGAGTTGGCATTCTCTTTTCCTCTGGGAGTATGCGAGGTGCACCCCGCCGGATGGATCTAAGAGCTGGGTTCTGAAGCAGTGACTTTCCACGTCAGCCCCAGAGCCCCAGTGCCTGGGTGCCGTCTGCTGCCCTGGGCTCTGCCTGTCCTTTGAGGATCAATTCCTATCACCCCACCACACTCTTACAAGAGTCTTCTCCTTCTCTGAAATCACATGGCACTATTGTCTGAATCACGCAGATGACAAAGGCCTTATGTGGCAATGTATGTCTCTCCAACCTCTCCAGCTCTTCAAAATCGAGGTAGTTCTCTGAGAAACAGCAAGATCCAGCCACGTGGTTACTAAAGTCCCATCACTCGTGACTTGCTATCCAGCCACTACCCAAAGTGCCAAATACGTGATATTTTTATTTACAGTAGCTTTATCATAGATTTTGTTGTTGTTGTTGTTCGAATGTTCCTATTTTTATATTTTCCATAGAGTACAATGAACTCATTTTCAGGGTACTACTGGGTGAATTTTCAGTCTTTGTATATACAACCTCTGGCCAAACCAAGATATGGAGCATTTAAAAATTTTTTTTAAAGGAAACATGGTATCTCTGCCAACAGTATCCTCAAAATCATAGTTTGATGTGCTAGTTAAACTTTTTCTAATACCCATCAGAATAAATAACTGTAAATTATAAATGCTTCTGTTTCATCTAAAAGCATCTTGTGTGGCACCAGCTATTACTATATCTTTCACTTAGTCATCCATTTGAAATGTGTTGAGTACCTACTATGTGAGGGCATTGCTCCAGGCACAATGTCAAGGGAAGATACAGCAACAAGTAAAACAGAGCAAAATCCTTCTAACTGGGGAAAGAGACAAGAGAACTCACTTGCTCCTCAATTACTCAGCCTCTAGTGTGCTAAAATACCTCTTTCCCAGTTCTTGCTCTTCACTAATACTAAGTAAAGGTACAGAGGATGTCATTGGTGACAAGGCTTCTGGGCAGAATAAAGCAGGACAGGGGCCCAGGGACTGCTGGGTTTGGCTGGGTGGCCGTTTGGAAAATTAAATGGGGTCGTCAGACAAGGCATAGTATTTGAGTAAAGATTTGAAGGCGGCGAGGCCAGAGCCATCATGGGAGATGAGATGTCTAGGTAGAGGAAACAGCAAGTGTGTAGACCCAGGGGCAGCGGAACGCTGGGATGTTTGAGAAGCAGGTAGAAGGCCGGTGGTCCCCTCTTGGTGGGGAGGGGCGTTGGAGTGGATAAAGGGGGGCTGGAGAGGACTGACACACATGGGTTCGGACTCTGCCTCGGCCACCCTCTTGAGTGTCTTCGGGCAAGCTAGCTAGTCTTGAAATAATGCAGCGTCTTAAATTGAAGTGAGCCTGTTAATCCCCAACCCCTCATTTATCCCTTCCCACCCTGCCCTCCTTGGTAACCATAGTTTGTTTCCTATGTGAGTGTGGTTTTGGTTTGTAAATAGAATTTGCATCATTTTTTTTTCAGAGCCCCCATATAAGTGATATCATATATTTGTCTCTCTTTCTTCGACTTACTTCACTCAATATGATAATCTCTAGGTCCGCCCAGGATTAACAGACACATATTACTATATATAAAATAGCACAGGGAACTATATTCAATTTCTTGTAAGAACATATAATGGAAAAGAATCTGAAAAGAAAAAGTATATATATATGTATGTATATGTATAACTGAATCACTTTGCTGTACACCTAGACTAACATTGTAAATCAACTACATTTCAATAACAAATGCTTTTAAAAAATTTTTTTAAAAATTAAAAAAATTTTTTTTAATTTTAAAAATTAAAAAAAACAAATTGGAGTGAGAAAAATTCCCTTCTATAGTTGTGTTCTACTTAGATTGGAGAAAATACATGGAAAGCAACTAGTTTAGTATCCACTACATGTTAGGGGCTTTATAACTGTTATTGAACATAGTAGGCATGTTATAAATATGTAATGACTGACATGAAGACCACAGTGCTTTGATCTTCAAAATTAACGTGCCTTCTATTCAAATTTCAATAATCAATGAACAATATGTATCTTTTCGGTGCACGGTGCTACACAAATTTCGAGTGAAATATGACTCGATCTCTGGCCTTCAGGAGGGTCTAATCTAGTTGGGGAGATAAGATGGATAGATATTAAGACCATAGACAAATCATCTAGTTTTTCTTTTAGGTAAATGGAAGGATTTCATTTCCCTGCCCCTTTGAAGTTAAGTGTTTGTGTGACTGCTTTTGCCCATGAAACCTGCATGCTAGTGATACGTGTTAATTCCCGGGAAAGGCTTTAAGTACCAGCGCATTAGTTTGCCCCAAAACAGGTGTTGAGATGGAGTCTCTTATTAGTCCAGGTCGCCGGGCGATTACAATGAGCTCAGCCTCCCTACTGACCTACGCTGGAAATGCAGAATGAGCAGGCAGGAAAGTGGTTGGGCCCAACCCCTGAGACTGGCAGGCATTTGTTACTGCTGTGTAAGGTGCCCTGTCCCGACTGAAACCACTTGGAGAACAATCAGAGAACACAATTACGGGCTGACAGTCCTTCCTTATCATGGTGGGAACAAGATAATAATGCAGTCAGGATAACATTCTAGGATGAGAGCGTTGTAAAGAGGTAGATATATCATCACTGTGTTTAAAAAAGAGTTGAACAAATATCACATATATCATGGCTTTATAAAAAATATTTTCAACCAACACAAATTTAATGAACTGCCATGTATGTTCGATGCTTGATCAACTAAAAATCTCGAGAAAATTTTCCAAAAATTATAAATTGACCTGAAAACACTTCTAGTGTGCTAAAATACCTCTTTCCCAGTTCTTGCTCTTCACTAATATTTTCTTTCATGGATTTTGTAAATTAGTATTTATATTTCAGTTTCTGTCCAAAAAGGTGCACAGTGGTCTAAGGCTAAAGACTCTGATATAAGAAGGCTAAAAACTATGACTGGAAGAGAATAAGAGACATACTGTGTATTCCTAAAGGAAAAAAGTTTTGAGATGTGTCAGTCTAAAATGGAAAATATGTTTGCTTTTAAAACTTTGCATCAGCCAACTTCAGGATCCAAGTGTCATACTTCCCCTAAATAAACAGAATATAAGAAACGACCCATGGGCCATTGGTTCACAGTGTCTGAGAACTCACTTGCTCCTCAATTACTCAGCCTCTATCAGTAATTTTGATTCCTTCTATCACTCATCTTAGATGCCTTTCTTTCCTGGAGTCGTTCTGTCATCATAGGCTTTGGAAGAGGGATGTAATGTCAGCATTGACCAGGAATTAAATGAAGTCCCTCTAAAGAATTTTCATTTTATGGCATTCATACCAAACCAGGACACGAGTGTTTTGTTTTCTCATGGTGACTTTATTTTTTCAGACCTGAAGAAAATTGCTCAAATCTGTGCTTCACTAAATACAATGCAGAGCTCCAAAAGGGGGGGGGGGAACCACTTTGCAAAGACTAAATAATGCTAAGGAATTTATTTTCAACTTTCCAAAGAAATGCGTAATTCTCTTTAGAAGCTAAACACGATTTAAGTGTAAAGTTTTTATAGAATACACTTTAAATTTAGAACACTGAAACTAGTCTAAACATGGTACCAAATTGTTCGCAGAGTCCACACCTTTCAGTTTACTCCCCTCAAACCCTCAATAAGGTTTCTAATTTTGGTTGGATTTAGTCAAGGAAGTGTTCACTTTGTCCTTTTCTCAGATGGTCTTTTTTGTTTTTCTTTTTTTCCCCCCACTGAATTACCAGTAGGTGAGAATTTGCTGGTACAAACATACATTTCTGTTCTTCACTCTCATTCTCTGACAGTCTTTTTTGCGTTCTCTTTATCTTGCCTCTTTTTCACACTGGCCCAATCGGCCACTTTTATCTGTTGAAGCTCCGAGCCCAAAAGTTGTTGATTCCAAGGGTGAGATGTGGACTGACTACAGGACTTTTAATGCCCACTAGAGGAGAAGGGATCAGTGATGACGTTCCCCAACTCGGCAAGGGCAAGGGCAAGGGGGTGGGGGCACCTGGGCTGGGTGAATGGGCTCTGGGAACCGTGGGTTTTGGGGGGTTTTTTGACTGAAGTATAGTCAGTTTACAATGTTGTGTTAATTTCTGGTGTACAGCACAATGTTTCAGTCATACATATGCACACATGTATTTATTTTCATTATAGATTACTATAAGATATTGAATATTGTTCCCTGTGTTATAGAGAAGAAACTTGTTGTTTATCTATTTTATATATAACAGTTAGTATCTGCATTCTTTGATCTCCATCCTGGCCCTGCACAGAGACAGCCTTGTGCAGGGAGCAGTCCTGCTGCCCGTTTCCCCAAGGCTCTGCTCTCTCCTTTCTGTGCAGACAGAGGTGGCCCTGCCATTCCCTGCAAAAGGAGGCTGCTGCTGTTTCAGCCCGTGTTCTTCCCAGATTCCTTTGCTTCTGTCTACCCACTGGCTCCCATTTTATCCCTGACCGTTCAGATCCCTCCACCAGGCCCCTTGCTTCTCATATCCCATGCTGGCCACAGCCTTGCTGAGCCCCCAGCTCAGGGTTGGGAAGTATAGCCCCTGCCTCTCTGTGCCAACCTTTCTAAGCCTCTTTCTGGTGTTGGAAACACGCCTTCTTTAGGTACACTGTCTTAGTAACCACACTCGGGGATGGATGAGGGAAGCCAGGTGATCCACACTGAAGTATAAATGGAATTTTGAGACTCCTTAGGAGACGCGTGTCATTCTGGTGCAGGAGGCAGAGCTCAGAGGAGGTAGTGGGCAGCCTGAAGTTCTTGGCGGCAGTGTGGGCTTTGGACTTACCCAGATCTGATCTTATTCACCGTAACCACCACCTTCTGCCCTCCTTTCTTCTCTCTGGACCAGCAAGGAATCTTCTCGTGAAGTTCCTTTGTTCACTCACAGTAATGATTTCCAAGTAGCTGGGGAGGAGGAGGAAAAGGAACAAATTAGCAAACAAATTTCAGACTCTCCTGAAAACTTCCCCCAAGCTGATGAAAAGATGACCTGGAACGTGAATGAAATCTACTTGTTCAGAAAATCATGACTGCACTTGTCATCTTTAATTTTAATATTTAAATTGCTTTGTCCACGCTTCATGCTTTCTTCCTTTTTTTTTTTTTTTTGGTAGCAAAACTGTTGCTAAACCAGGGACTGGCTTTGCTATGAAACTATGAAACACTATGAAAGGACAGTGTAAAGTACTCTTTGGGCGGCCTGTTTAACCACACGTAGGGCCCAGGTTAACTAAAGTTGAGGAAAATGGAAATGTTGACATTTCTTTAAACAATAAAAATTACAAGTGATTGCCAAAGTGCCACGAGCTGACATTTACAGAGATTGTTCACCGATTATATATATGAAATATCACAAATAATTAGCTTGTGGCAATTACCTGCCTCTCGTTAGTCTGCTTTTAGAATATTTTTAAAGCTTAGGTTACTAAAATTTCAAATAATCCTGGGCTGTGCTGTCATGGGTCTTTATCCAAATGAGTCGTGGTCTCTTGTAAACAGTCCTATGATCTGATTTCCATTGGGACAGGAGTTGTAAAAGGCCAGGGATTTTCGATGGATTTACACATATACTGTTTCAGTTAAGTTACCAAGGTTGACTTAACAGCACTTTTCCTCGGAATCTTAAATACACTTGCCACCCAGCCTCTTTCTACCATATTCGAGGGACTGGGTGATGAGATTAAAAGGGGCTCGAGCTGGGGGTGGAGAAGGAGTCTGCCCCCGTGAAATTTCCAGCTTGGATTCCTTCTGCCATCGGTCTCAGTTAACTAGCTTGGTGGCATTTGTTGCTGGAAAGTTGACTTTTAAAGATATGTCACCATGGAAGCAGGTGCTGGAGCATTTTTCTTTTGGAAAACTTCATTCTGCTGGTACCATTTTGCAAGGAAGAGATACTTGGGAAGAAAGCCGGCAACTGGAACTCTGTTGTCCATGAAGGCATTGAAGCAGGGCGGCCAAGATCCTCCAATCTGATTTCTCCCCACTTCCCGAACGTAAAAACGAGATGGGCTGGCTTTCTTAAGATTTGCTCAGCTCCTGGAATCTTTACAAACAAATATTAATGGTACTCCATTACTGGCTACATTTTCAATGAAGTTTAAATAGTCTGAGTTATGATGATTAGCGAGAAATGCACAGATAATAAAGAGAAATGAGATTCATATTTAATCCCCAACTCGGAACAATGGTTTGATTTTCTCATTCACTTGGCAAACAATTTCGTTTCTAAATGTTATTTCAGCCACAGATATCATTTCTTTAACACAGCAGAAAGGAGGAGATTAAAATACGAGATGGAGGCAGCACTTACCTTGGACTGATTAATAGGCTCAGGCTGGTCCCCTGCCGCCATGCTTAAAAGCATCAAGACATGCTTTGCTCTCCCAGCTGATATAGATTGATACTTACTGGGTGCCAGGAAAACCTCTTTGATTAGTCATACTAAACTGCCACTTAAGTGGTGTGCATGCCACGAAGCTACACTCTCCTTAATCAAGTCATAAATTTGGGGACTCTCAGAAGCAGCATCCTTTTCTCTAAGGAGGCAGGTGGGGGTAGGTTCACTGGGAGTTCTCTTAGCCTTAACCTGCCAATCTCTCCCCAACCCATCGGCCGTAAGGGCCAAATCACCAACTGGAATAAAAAAACTACGGAATGTCAACCATTGACCTGATGAGGCCAATGACTCAGGCTAAATAAACCACCTTTGCATTGACAGCCGAAAGGGAGGTGAAGGGTTGGGCAGAGGGGGCTTCTACATTTATTGTTAAGTTTTACGTTAAGTTTTGCTGATGTCACAGACACAGGGACCATTACTTACTGCTTCGAGTCAGAAAGTTTGACGATGCTTTTCTAGAAATACAAAATGGTAGGAGTGCTCTGAGGATGAATTCCTGTCTTAAGGAACTTCTAAATAATCTCATTCATGTTTACTGAGGCAGGCTTTTCTAAGGACTCTAGGAACAAAATGCCTTTCCAGTTGGCTTCTAATCTGCAAAGTAAAACGAGTGAGTGAATTGGCTTTTCCAATCTCCCCACCACCCCCTCTCCTGTTCCTCACCATGAATTGTTCCCATCAAGGGTATCTTTTCCTCCCATTTGGCATCTTGGAGAATAAAACATCAGCTCTGAGTAATTGTGACATGCAGCTAGAGCTTTGAACTCACTATGAGTATGGGAAACTTGGAGAGCTGTAAAGTATTCCTCAACCCCACGGTTGAACAGGACAACATTCTTTAAAACTCTGCATGAAATTCAATCTAATTCTTTCTTTCTCAGATTACAGGATCCTTGGTGTAAAATATTACTTTTTTTTTTAAAGCAAAAGTGCAAAGTTAATCTATCAGGGCGCACCTCCAGGTGAGATTTATTAACGAAAAATCGTGTGCTCACCCTGCATATGTGGGCCATACTCATCTTATTATCCAGCTGAAAAATTCCCAGCATCGGCGACGCCTGAAAATAAGAGCAGGCAAACCTACAGAATATGACACTTATGCTAATCTGTGCCCTGCTGTGGGAAGACATACACAAGGATTCCATTACCACATTCATTAGGCTGCTGCACACTCCATCCTGAATAGGGATTACCAACCACAATAGACCGAAAGCAGTTGATGGAGCCCACTTAGCCAAATCGCTCTGACACTGGCCAAATACGTCAGCACTGAGAAGAGCATCAGCTCAGACTGCGTGGAGGCTGTTACTAGCTAAGAGTTTGTCCTTCCCGGAGGCAGTCACATCAGTCAGCTCCTGGCATGTGCTGTTAGCTCAGATGCTGAAAGCTGGGACCCACGTGATATTTATGATCGGAATCTGAAAGGGTTGTTTGAAACATACAACCCAGCTCTGTCCGTGCACCTGTTGTGTGGTGCCTCTGACCCTCCCCATCCACACTTCTTTCCCGATTACGTTCAGAGGGTGAATTGTATGGTGATAGAACTGAGTAGCTAGAAAAGAAATTAGAATCAGATGGAAATGTCGAGTTCAGCACTCAGTTTGCCCCAGTCCCCTCTCTCTGGTTTTCGGGGCTACCACCCATCAGTCCAATCTTCCTGCAGTGGTAGAAATAGTGGCCACTGGTGAGCTAAAAATACGTTAAGTATTGTCGTAAATGATAAAGAAAGGAAGACAAGTTACTGCTTGGGAGATGTTATGGCTGTGCAAGCAGAGGAAAAAGATTTAAACCGCATCCATGTATATTGTCAAGAAGATAGTAATAAAAACCTTCTGTGTGAAACCAGTTCTCAGCCTTGGGTTAAAACTTCCGTTGGGGCTTTTCTTTCTCAGTTTAGGAGTTGAACAGGAAGATGTTAAGAGTAGCTGTACCCAACGCCTTGATTTATATCACTGATGTGTTTCTGAAAAGCTGCAGAGAAATCAGATTTTGCTTTTGCCAACAGAATCTCATACAGGCTTCAGGGAGCTTCTTTTGGCCAAAGTCACTCTGCGCTGAATCCTTACCTGTGTGTCACCTGAGGGAAAGCATCTTCCGCTTGAAACACAAATAATCACTGCTGAGTTTATTATCCACCTGGCGTGTTCCAAGTTTCCCTCCCTGGGCTTGCTGCAGTGGAGTCTACCAGAAGGATGCAATAGGACTGGGGCAGGGTGGGGAGAGGGGGAGGGTGGTGCTTGAAACGAGAACCGTTGAGCTGAGACGGTCGTAGCTTTTTACCCCCTCTCTTGAGAAAGGGGAAATATTAGAGGATGGAAAGCCTCATTTTTCTTTGCCTGCTTAGGGTTACGTCATGTGTTTTGGAAAGGCATAACTAACCTCTTGAGTTTTCTAAACACAAACCCCATCAGTACCGGCTTATGATGCCCATAAATCCAGGGGAGGAAATATGGAAGGCACCCAGGCGCCCTGCCTACTTCCACAGCAGAGCAAGGGCATCACTGAGAAACCGGAGCTGCGGCAGTGCTCCCGCCGCCGCTCCCGTCTCGGGAACTCTGTCCTGCACTTGGTCCTGCAAGCAGCCCTCCGACAGAACCAGACTCACGTGGACGGTGGAAGAGATGGTTCTGGGGTTTTCCTCTTCCATGGGATGCAGCTCCACCAGCCTGCTTTTCTGGACCATGCGCTCCACGGCATCCTGCCCTGTATCTCCCGGCTCCCTGAGATACCAGGACGCATCAGACAGGTTGAAGGCGGCTGTTTTCTTGCCAGGGGAACATGCCCCTTTGCACCGCGATTGTAATACAATCTTTCCTCTCTGGGGCTGCGAATGCTACAGTGCAAAACCATGCTTGAAAACCTCTTTTATCATTCATCGTCTCCAGACTGAAATCATTTCTGACAACCTCTGCAGAAAACAAGCAGCTTTCTGGCTACTGGCGAGTCGATTAAAGGGAGGAAACACATGTTCGCTGTCAGACGAAGCCCCTGGAGAAAGCACTGACAACCTTTTAACCCGCTTTCCCAGGGAAAGGGCCCAAATGTTTCTCTGGAACAAAATCACCACGTTGTCTTAAGCATCTTTTCATTTCATGCATCTTTTTATCTCTTCCTAAGTCGGGACATGTAAGAATAATGATCCTCAGCATGCCCATTTTTATTTTGGATGTTAACAGGTCTGCTTTATACCCTCCTCGGGAAGACAGGGGAATGAGTATCATTAATGAAAGTCTTTTCTGAGCTCACCCGTTCTTCATTTTTTTTTTTTTCCGTCTGACCGCAGTTTAAATACCAGCACACTGACAAGTTCACTTACCTCATAGAGGGACTCCTCAAAACCAACCAAGATGCTGCAGGAGTGAAATTTTCTGAACAGGAGGAAGGCCTGACCAGCCAACATCATTAACAAACTGAGAATAAGACTGGGCCGTGGAAACGTCTCAACATCTCGACCCAGAGACACCCATCCATTACTTCTGCGTATGTTGTCCCGCAGAGTCATTTCCAGGGGACGGAGTAAGGAGCAGCCGGCGCGAGTGATGGAAGGTTCCATACAAAACTGAGCACAAGTGCGAGGTATGTGGGTTTGCTTCTCAAAAAAAGAAAGAAAGAAAGAAAGGAAGAAGGAAAAAAAGAAAGAAGAAAGAAAGAAAGAGAGAAAGAGAGAAAGGAAGGAAGGAAGGAAGGAAGGAAGGAAGGAAGGAAGGAAGGAAGGAAGGAAGAGGTAACAGCTGTTTTTAAACGCCAGTCCTGTAATCATCACAATTAGAAAAGTCCCCAGTTCTCAGTTCCTTAACCTATAACCTTAGTATTTTTTTTTTAACCTCAGTATCACTGGTCTGGGTGGTTTGGTCTACTATAAGAAAATGATCCACCTCACCCCCTCCCTCCTCAAAGTTGCATTTTTGCTTTTACAGCCAAAAAGCGGGGGAGGAGGTGGGGATTCTGCGGGGGGGACAAGATTTAAAGTCGCTGCCTGGGAGGCTGGCTGGGAGAGGAGGCCACGTGGGGATGCTGGGCGCCGGGAGGAGGAGCGCCCCCACCCACATGAACTGACGCAGGGGCCTCCTCTCTGCCACATTCTACCAGCCCGCTTTGTTTTCTTCTTGTTATTCATTGCTTTTAAATTGATTTGTGTTTATTTACTCATTTCTAAAACTGAGGTGAAATTTGAGCAACGTAAAATTGACATTTTAGAGCCAAGAATTTAATGATTCTCAGTACAATTCATAATGCTGGGTAATCATCACCTCTATCTAGTTCTAAAACATTTTCATCGCCTCCCCAAATAAAACTTTGTATCCATTACGCAGTTAATCCCCGTCTTCCCCTCCCCTCAGCCCCGTGCAACCACCAATCCACTTTCCATTTCTATGAATTTACCTATTCTGGATATTTCCTACAAACAGAATCATACAGTACATGACGATTCGTGTCTGGCTTCTTCCACTCAGGACAATATTTCTGAGGTTCTTTCACACTGTAGCTTGCAGAAGTATTTCATCTTTCTTACACCTGAATTAATATTCTGACTTACGTTTATAGCATAATTCGCTCATTTAGGTTGCCCATTGCGA